GTGGGGGAGAGCAGTCGCAGTGGTAACAGAAGCAAGAGCAGCAGCTTAGGGGACTGGGGGAGGGTGCATTACCCGGAGTAAAAATAGGCTGGAAAATGTGACATTTATTAACTTGGATTCCGGAGGAAAGGTCACAGCAGAGTGGGGAGTGGAAAGGAGGAAACAGGAAAAGCAACAGAAAACACACAACAGCCCCTTACCCAAAGCTTGTCTCTGTCACTGACCATCTCACCACTCGCGCTGGCAGGTTCTCCGCCAACTGGTCCCCGTACCCATCTCCCCACCGTAGACCCCGAATCTCTGTCACGGCTCCGTCCTCACCAGAGACCCCGTGTCTTCGTCTCCATGCCCCTTCTCCCATCTTGCCACAACAAAACACCCCGCCTTTCCCACTGCCATAGATCATGGGCCCCCATCCCAACCCATAACCCCAGACCCTGTGAATCTGCAGCAGTCTCAGCCCCAGATGCCAGGTCCAACGGAGAGTTACACTCAGCAGATGGGGGGTGGGGGACAGAGGGAGCAGGATCCAAAGAGAAATTCCTTCCCCTCAGTGCTTGCTTTGCCCCTCCGCCCTCGTCATCCTGCCGCAGCCCCAGAGCTGAGACCCAGAGACCTGCACTACCCCCTTCCCTCCAGCCCCAGCGTACACAAGGACCTGTGAGAGGTCCACCTTTATCCCTGCTGGGGCATCCCCAGGATTCAGAGAGACTCACCAGCCAGTGATCAGGGGACTCCCTCTGCCCATATCCTCTGGCACCTGCTCCTTTCCTGGAGGCCAGGCAAGAAACCCCTGCCTCCCTCACCTTTCTCCCTGGTCCCTCCATCTCTTCCTCCCTTTCCCTCCCACCGACGTTTCATCACTCTTCCCCTTCCCTTTCCACCCCCAACCGGGGCCTGGGACACAAACTCCAGCTCAGGGACACAAAGCCTCCATTGATTTCTGCCCCAACAGCACCTGCTAAGACTGGGCTCCGTCCCCCCAACTCAGAGGGGTGAGGATGTCACATAGAGGAGCCCCACGGATCTGAAAGTCCACATTCACACTTCACACTCCACCTTTTTTTGGGGACACTCACAGCCCTGGCTTTGGGAACAGTGACTTTTTCATAAAAGAGGGCGTTTGTAGCTGGATGACAGGTCCGTGCCCCTGACTCCTCTCCCAGCACAACCTTCTACCTCTGTTCCTTCCCTCATTTCTACCCAACTCCCCCCACCCAATGGCAGGAGGACCCAGAGGCTTCTGGCACGGTGGGAGCCAGGCACCTAGTGGGAACATGTTACTGAGGCAGTGAGTGAGTGAGTGAGTGAGTGAGCGAGCGAGTGAGAACCTGGGTAGGAGATGGCCGGGCCATGAGGAGGGAAAGTCCCCCACCTCTTGGCCTGGCCCTGGAGGCTGGGCTGGAGTGGGCACCATATTGACAACACATATGTATGTGCATATGCGTCTGGGCAGTGGTAACATGCATGAAACACACACAATGCTGAGAGTAAACTGGACTGAGGACAGGCATCTCAAGCACCAGAATAACAGATCCCCTTGACTGGGTGCATGGAGCACTGACAGACAGATAGCATACAAGACACACCCCCACTCACATACGTTGTGAGAGATGGTGGTTGTCCCTACATGGGGAGCAGGGATTGAGATAGATGGGGAGGGGTCTCACAAGAGGGTATGGCATCCACAGAGTGACCCTGTCCTTGGCAGCTAAGCAAGAGCAGGGATGTGGGCACAGAGATAAGTAGCTCTCTAGATGTGTGGGCGTGCAGGTGTGCACGTGAGTGTGGTGGCAGGAACACTGAGTGTGTGTGACAGGGAGTGTGCAGGAAACTGTGTCCCGGAGCCATAGAGGGGTGTGTGTGTGTGTGTGTGTGTGTGTGTGTGTGTGTGCTGGGCAGCAGTGAGGGTGAGCCATGAACATAAGAGTGAATGAGTGATTCTCAGTGTCAGAGCCAGAGCCGGGCAAGGGAGCAGCAGGCATCAGAAAACGGAGGGAGGGACTGGAAAGCGGGAGAAGCCGGAGGGGCAGCATGAAAGAGGGATGTGTAAGGGAGTCTGTGAAAGGGGGTGTGTGTGGAGACACAGAGGCAGAAGAGACACTGGCACCCAGTGTACACGAAGATCATCTCTATCCAGCCTGCCGGTCGGGCCAGCTCCCCAGGAGGCAGTCTGAGGCCCTCCCTTGCTGGAGCCCCCCAAACGCCCTCTCCCCATCACCCTCATTTGCTGAGGAGGAGAACCCAGAAGCCACAGAAGAAAAGTGGGGTCAGTCAGTCCAGCCTTGGTGTGGTACATTCCTTCCCTGCGAGCTGACCAGCTTTGGGGCCCCTGGGCCCACTCCAGGACCCCCAGCCCCAGCCCTGGGCACTGCAGCAGCAGCAGAGCCAAGAGGAGGAGCAGCGGCAGCGCCAGGGTAAGCCCCGGAGTGTCCTCTGCTCATGGCTGGGGAGCCAGAGGGAAACACCAGGCTTGGGGGAGACTCGAGGCCAGCCTCTGGTGGCGGAAGGAAGGGAAACCCCATTGAGGATGCCCCCATGCACCACCACCACCCTCCGCCAGCCTCTGGCCACCCCAGGCCAGGCGAGCCAGCTGGCAGGACTCACCACCGAGAAGTTGCTGGCGGAGCAGTGATGCCCACTGAAGTTGCAGCTCTTGAGCATGTCGGCAAGCTGGTGGCCAGTGCGGTTGAGGATGTCTACCATGTCAGGCTCCGGGTAGCGCAGGCCAGCGGCACGGTGCCCGTCCCGGTCTTTGGGGGGCAGCCCTGTCAGGTTGGCCAGGTGGAAGATGTCAGCGTCGCTGAGTGCCGAATGCCGGAAGCGGTTGATGTTGCAGAGGGTGACGGCCGGGAAGCCCGCCACCGGGGCTGGGGCAGCTGGGTCCATTGCCACCAGGTGAGGCCAGGTCAGGTAGCCCCGGGCCAGGCCTGCCGCCTGGTACAGGAAGGCAGTCAGCGAGGTGAAGAGAGCCAGTGCCCACAGGGTTCTACGAAGTCCATGGGGGCCTGGGCCACAGGCCCGGCCCAGCCCGTGCAGGGTGCTCGTGCTGGCAAATGTGGCCAGGTCCCGGGGCGCTGCGGCCCCCCGCGCGGCCCCCAAAAGGCTCTGTTCATCCCCTGCCTCCTTCTCCTTGGGTTTCGCATCCTCCTCTGCAAATTTGATTTTGCACACAATCTCGATCGGCATCTGTCCCCGGCTGCTGGGACTGGCCAGAGCCTCCCTGCCCCTGTCCCTCCCTGGCCAGCAGCCCCCGGTGCCCTCCGGAGTGTCGGCGGTGGCAGCGGCTGCTCTTCTAAACTCAGGGCAAGCTGGGGGAGGATGGGGACAGGGTGGGGGCCCGAGGTGGGGGAGTCACTCCCACTCCCAGCAGCTCCGCAGCCCTGGTGCTGCCTCTGCCGCTGCTGCCTCTGCCGCCGCTTGTCTCTCTCCTCGATCGTCTCCTTGTGGCTTCCCTTATCAGCACCAGCACAGCTGTCAGCCCCTGCGTGTGTCCCTGCGAGCAAGCGAGTGAGCTGCTCCGCCACGCCGCGCAGCCCCAGCCGCTCCGCTCAGCATGTGCTCCGGAGCCCACCCCGTGCTTAATAATTCAGGACATGTCAACAGCGTTTCACCGGCGCACGGGCAGCAGGAGCCAGGCCAGGGGAGGGGGCGGCCCCCAGTCCAGGACAGGGATCCCTGGTTCCCGCCTGAGACCTTGTTGAACTGCCCCCAAACTCTTGCTATACCCTAGCCACTCATGGGGTCCTCAGATGGCCCCACTCCCAGGCCACCCAAGGAAGAGTGCTGCGCTCAGAGTCCTCAGCTCCTTCTGCCACTTTCCTGGACCACACCCCGGGAGGGGTCAGCCAACTCCGTCTCCCAGCTCCTGGCCTTGCTGACTCCTGACTCCAGCTCTGACTCCCGCACCCAGCCACCACCTGGCCCCATTACCCCACTCATAGCGTCTTCTAGAAACTCCTTGGGAGGGCCACTTGTTTGAATGGGGGGGGGGGCAGGGGAGGGCAGGACAGACAGACAAGGGGACAACAGTAAGGCCACCAAGATTCTTGACTTCCCTAGAGCTTTGCTCCTGACTTCCACACCTACCATACCTGGCCCTCTCTGGGACACTGGCCACCCCTCCTTCACTTTGCCTGCCCCCCCCC